GATAGTACACACATGGATAAAATTCATGGCATACATATATATTTCGCCGTACATTATCATTCAAACCATTAAATTTGGGAAAAGTGCCAATTTTGTTGATACTCTATTTCTTTACACTTGAAGTTGCATTTGCACAATGTCTAAAACAAAATTTCAGAATAACTACTGCCCAAAAATAAAAACAATATTCGACTAACCTTATTTTCAGAAGGCTTCTTGGCAGGAACTTTTTTATTATTTTTCTTTGTATAGTACTCTTCTCTAGCATTTCTTTTTTTATGCCTTACCTTTTGCTTATTGCCCTTAGTAGAAGTAGCACTAGCATTCACTCATATGATTTTAAGATTATAAAGAACGAGATAAACAATAACAACTTTACTAATACAACATCAAAACAGTAGTGAAACTGTCAAATTTATTGGCACTTAGGCCCGCCGCAAATTGAGCACAGCCCACGCACATCCCACGCGCAGCCCACGCGTGGGTTATTTTGTAAAACGTGGTTTTAGACGGAGCGACGCATATTAAACCCAAACCACGGCCAGGCTACTGCCAGACTTGGTTAGCGTGGATAGAGTTGTGCTAGCAACACAGTTTCGTGGGTCGTGGGTCTCTACATAACCTTAGTTAGTTTATTTTGTGTGATCAATTTTTAAAAAAAACACAGAAGTTAAAACACTTCACAAATGTCTATTTAGGTATAAAACAAACAAGTTAAAACTTTTTAAAAAAGTGTCGTCACATTTAAAGTTCTGGCAGAACGTTTTCGATCACTACGGATCACCTTCAGTGCCTAGTATTTGTTACTAACTATATAAATATGGTGTCTATAAGACTTCCATGATTGAGTTGGTATAGTGTCACATTTTACATTAGATAATGTTGATACTGTAGGTCGATGACAATGGATGTATTTAAATTTAAAAATTTTACTTTAGGTACTACATGTCTCCTAAGCTCGAGTACTTGCACGTTGTCAGTTGAAGCGACGACACAGACCAAAATCATTTTGGTTGATGACTAACACAAACACAAGAGCTGGAAATGTTGACACAATTTAATCATCAATGACCAAAACTTCGAAGCAGTCAAAGAGTTCATATATCTAGGGACATCGGTTAAACCCAATAATAACACATCTGAGGAAATAAAAAGGCAAATAACAATTGCAAACAAGTGTTATCATGGTCTATCAAAGTACTTAGCTAACAAACGTCTGTCGCAAAAAAAACTCGTAAAAGGCTGTATAGAACACTGATAGTCTCCGTTCTCACATATGGATCAGAGGCAAGGACGCTAACAAAAACAGATGAATCCGCTCTATCCATTTTTGAAAGAAAGGTGCTACGCAAGATATTCGGAGCGGTCTGTGAGAACGGAATATGGAGGCGTAGATATAACTTTTAACTGCAGAATATCTACAAGCATACGTTTGGTGGTAAAGATATTACCACTATAATTAAGCGAAACCGCCTGTAATGGACAGGACGTGTAGCCCGGGCCCCTAAATCGAACATGATAAAAAAGATTCTAACAGCGCAACCCGTGGGAATGAGAAGACGGAGTGGACCAAAACTGAGGTAAATGGATGGGGTAACACAAGATTCAGAGAAGATCGGAGTCGGCAACTGGAAAATGCAAGCAAGAGACAGAACAGAATGGCGTAGAAAGCTTAAGAAGGTCGAGGCTCTCTAAGGGCTGTAGCATTAAGATGATGATGATGATGTTGATGACATTTTGGAATGCTAGGCACAGGTTTAATGACATACAATCTCTGATACATATGGCAAGAAATAGAGAATTAATGGAAAATGTGATCGCTAATATTCATTAGTGGATCTGCATCTGAAGAACAAGAAGGCACAGGTTGTAGTGTGGCTAGTTATAACAATAATTTTTATAAAAACAAGAAGACTGCCAATTCTGATTAACAAATAGCATTTTTCACGTTTCCCAAAAATACAAAATTTGAAAAAATATGGGTTATGCGCTATTGCAGAAAAGATAAAATAAAATAAAAACTGCAAGAGTATGTAGTAATCATTTCCAGGATGATTTTGTGGATGACATGGATGCTCGAATAATGGGAACTAGGCCTAAGTTGAAATTAAAAGATAAAGGTTAAGTGTTGTTGACTTAATGTAATTCTGTTTATTATCACCACTATTTTATAGCAATTCAAATATATTATATAGCATACAAAAGTTAACCCAGTATTGACAATTCAGTATATGCGACAAATTTTTAGTGTAAAATGGAGATCCTTTTCAAAACTATTTTAAGTCTATTTATCCTCTATTTACGTAAATCTAGAACTTTATTCCGATTAATTTTAAATATCAAATTACCTACATATCAGTAGTTTTCCATAATTAGGTATTATAATCCACTAAACATCGGTATTTCATAACTATCTTTACTATTTTCTATATATCACAGACATGAAAACTCCGATTAACAATGTTACGATTCAAGTAACTGTACTCTCGTGACGTAATTTCGGGCTTAATTTTCATTGGTTAGTTGGAGTAGGTAACCGTAGTAAGTCTACGAACCATGGGCACTTACCAAGGTTATTAAAATAGACAGGTTGTCTGGTAACTTTACACCAATCAGCGTCGAGAATCTAATGGCGGGATTGACGTCACTGAGAATGCTGCATTCAAATGCATTCACTTTACTCCTTGAAATGAACTCAGAAAGCATCAATGATTGTAAATATATTAATTTATATTAATAATGGATTGAATACAATTTACTTTTTTTTAATTATTTGGAATTGATAATAATGCATATAGTGGATTATTATAAATTCCTACAAACAAGTAAACCATGCTGAAAAAGAGATTTAACTAAAGATTTATATATCAGAATTAGTAGTTTTTTCCTTAACTTCAATATATTTAAGGAACATCTGACTACATTACTGGATTATATAATAGAATATAAAAAATATTAAAACATGATTACATTAAATAGTTACCTTTTAAGTTGTACATAATTAACAGTAAATTATAAAAATTGAAAAATCAAAATCAGTGAATTAACACATTTTTACTAAACATTTAAATGACTATACCTACTTACCATCTTTTTTCAGCTTTTTAGGTTGTATGTTTAATAGTTTAGCTTTTAAAGCATCCTCATAATCTTCAATGCGAAAGTGTATACTACAAACTCGTTTATTAAAACAGGACCACTTATCCTTCCTATGACACTTGCTCATCCATTGCTTTTGAATTTTTACATTTTTTGGAAATGTAAAAAACATTAAATTCCTTCCATCCTTTTTGGAATTTTTCGAATTATTTTTGCAGATTGCTACACTACAAATATTTCCACCAGTCATCTGAATCAATAAAAAATGGAATTAAGTTATGTTTTTCCTCCATTAATCCCAATGCTTCCTTTACTATAATAATATAATACATCAGAAATACAATCCAGTAAGACAAAACCACGTTAAATGTATCTTAACACTTTTATAACAGTTTTTGGGTCCAAGTTGTATAATAAAAATCACTCAATAATATCTATAGACATATTATATCTCAAGATATTAACATAAACTAAAGCACTAACGATATTTAACAATAAAATATATTCTCCGAACCACTTCTCCTATTTTGTTTTCAAACAATTCGTAAAATTGACCCCCTGAGTGACGTCACACGTCATATTTCATTCTGTCAATGTCAGAGTTACCATGCAACCTCCCTTTTGCTAATCTTGGGCACTTACCACATTTTTTACCGGCGACGTTGTGGCGATTGATAAACATGCACTCTGTTGAGAATTTTTTAAGTACGTAATAATAACTACTTAGCGCATTATAAGGTTGTTGGTTATGGTACTTGAAACATTTTAAAGGTTTGAACAAAAATGAGATTTTTTTTGGCACTTACCAAATTATATATTTCATGTCTTCATACCTACTTTTTAAAACCCGCTACGCCTCTGCATCAGAACTGTATAAAATACCGAGCAAAATCAGTTTTGGAGCACTTTGAAAATGTTTTTTAATATAAAACTATGTATCACAGCTTTCAGATTTGTTGGTGTAAATCCTTTAATACATTCGTCAATTATTCAGAAACTGCTCTATTATTTTAATATGTTCACTATGGGCTGTTCTATGTATCTGTGTTTACTTCCGTTTGTTTATGAAGACAATACGGGTTTGGAAACCATTTTATTAAGGCTAGATTCTTTATTTATATATACAGATGTAAGTTTAATCACATTTGATTAAGAAAAGATTTTTTGCACGCTTAGTACTCAAAAAGAGTGACAAAATTTTAGACAATATATGCGAGGTTTATAATAAATGAAAAATTGTAGAAAATAAAAGTAATAGAATGGTAAATCCTTCAAGGTAAAGTTCAATTAGAAACACTGTTATCAAGTGGTGATTCTTGAGGATGCAGTCAGTTTATTTGACCCACAAGACAAAGAAAACTCTTTGACTTACTGTCAAGCTTTCGAATTTATTTTAATTTTTTTTCTAGACATCTGTTAACAAAGAAATATAAAAATTATCTAGTTATAATTGTTAACTGTCTTACTTACGACTAGTAAGTAGACGTATATACTTATTATTATTTTTTTAATTTTAAAGTGTATGTTTTTCTTTTTAATTTTTAGGGAATAGTCACAATATCAGCTTTATTTTTCAACCACAAACAATTAACCAATTTGATAACGGATACATTTAAATTTTGGAACTTAGAAAGTTTTCCATTCCAGAAGGAAAAAAATGCCGGCAAATTTCTTCTCAATAGTGCAAAATTCGTTGCAATTTTTTATCCGGGATAGTTTTAATCACATCATTTTTGGTAGTATTTGGTCCACTGTTAAGCGGTGAAAATGTGCTGCCTCTATCTACCTATGTACCACCATACCCACCATATTGGTTGTTATATCTGGTCGAAGTTTATTCGTTTATTGTCAGTTTTATTGTGGTTTTATTTTACGATGTGTGGCTGTATACAATAGTAATTATGGTTGTCATTCAATGGAAAATGTTAAATAGAGAAGTAAGCTCAATACTGGGTAGTACAGCAGAAAAAGAGGAGGAACGACATCTATTAAAAAACGATGTTGAGAAGTGTGTAAATTATCACAACTTTCTAATTAAGTAAGTACTTAATTTCTTATTAAATTCAAGATTTCAGGATTTAGGATTTAGTATAATGTCTTTCATTCTGAATCTTTTCACCCTCGACGTAGGTTTCACATATGTATACCCTGAATTCAATAGGATTTCCAGGGCAGACATTTTGTAGTTCGTTACCACTCGGTGATAAGCGGCTATATATTTATTTCTTTATTAGCACACAAATCCACTTCTCAATTATCATTTTTGCCGGATACATATGTTGGAAGTCCGAACTAGACTCACCTTATTGAAAAATTTATTATTTAGTACCGCTTGCAGCTTATCCGTGCCATTGAGGTATACCCATCGAGCAAAAAGACAAAAGAGGGAATGTAAAGGTAGTGGGGACAAAAATATTGTTGGACAGGAAGTGCCATCTTGAGAGGCCACTTTAGAAAAAGAAAGACAGTCTCTTTCCTTGTTTAAGAAATCAAATTTAATTTGGTTATGTTATTGTTTGTCCCAACTGTCATATGAAATTTTATTTATATTGAAATTTTTTACCAATTGTGTCACATTTTAGACTATTATCGTTAATATTTAATTAAAAATTTCTCGTCTGAAAAATATTTTATAGGTATTGTTTTATATATATATATATATATATATATATATATTATATATATATATATATATATCAAGTGTCAAAAAATTTAAATTTAGCTAAATTTAGCTTTTAAGTCTCTTGCCGCCATTGCTTCATCAATATCGTTGCGCCAACTTCTCCGTGGTCGTCCTCTCTTCTTCTTTCAGGGGGATCCATTCCAGTACTCTTTTAGGCCATCTGTACTCTGGCATTCTTTTAACATGACCGAACCAGATTAATTGTTTTCTTTCTATGTCACATTGATATTTCGCTCCATTTTCATTTCATTTCATATTTGTTCGTTCCTAACTCTTTCTAGTTTCGATCTACCGCAGCTTCGTCTCAGATAATCCATTTCTGTCGTCATAAGTTTGTTTTTATTAGCTTTGGTGACGTCCCATACTTCCGAACCGTAAAGTGTAATACTTTGCACTATACTACCGTAAATGTGTTTTTTGGTTTCTCGTCGAATTGTTTTTTGCCAGAGAAGAGAGTTTAAGGCACGGGTCGCTGCTCTACCCTTGTTTATTATTTCCCTGATATCATCTGCGCTATTTCCCTTCTTATTTAAAATGACCCCCAAATATTTGCAGGATTGTACGCCTTTGATTTTGTCGTCTTCCAAGACTAGGTCACATATTTCATCTGTTCCCACTGAAGGATATTTACGTTTTGTCATATTCATGTTTAGACTTGCCACCTCATATTCTTCTTGCAGTTTTCTTACCATATAGCTACGATCGTAGCTATCTTCGGCAATTACTACCTGGTCATCCGCAAAGAAAAGTGTATATAGTGTGTTTTCTTCCACCGTTATTCCCATGTTTCTACATTTTTTTACCCATTTCACTAAGGATCTGTCCAAATAGATTTTAAATAAGGTTGGTGACAGACAGCAGCCTTGTCTTAGTCCCTTTGTTGTTTGAAAAGGAGAGGTGATTTCTTGTCCCATTTTAATTCTTGCAAAGTTTTGTTCGTAGTATTTTTGAGTGGCGTTAATAAGAATTGGGTTTATTTTCAAGTTATCCATTTCTATCCATAGTTGGGAGATCGGTGCACTATCATATGCTTTTTCCAGGTCTATTACCGCTATATGGGTTTCTCTATTTCTCTGCACACGTTTTTCCATTGCAATTTTTAATGTGAAAATATTATCCGTAGTGAAGCACCTGGCCCTAAATCCCGCTTGTTTTTCGGGTTGTTTATCTTAAATATCATTTTCTGTCAGGTTTCTCAGTACTTTTAAATATAATCGGCCTATAGTAGCAATCACTGCGATCCCTCTATAGTTTTTAGGATCCGTTTTTGTGCCTTTCTTGTGTATTGGAGAGATATACGATTGTCTCCATTCTTCCGGAACTTCTTCTCCGTTTAAGCATCCTTCGAATAATTTTCGGATCATTTCAAGCAGTTTTGATGATCCATATCTACTTACCGATAGATAATAGATACCGGTAGATACTTACCGATAATAAATATTAATGACTCTCTTAGATCTCTGGTAGGACTTTTGTTACATGTTGGTTCCCCACGTTGGGCGCCCAAAAAATTGGGATTGAGTTCTATTAAAGATAATAAATAATTTCAAAAACTTGATACTTTTTTATCTATTTTAAAAAGTAATAAATATTATTTTGCAGCTATATAAAACGTCTTAATGAAACAGTTTGGTATCCAAACATGTTAATGGTGTTTTTTAGTGTTACAGCAATCTGTGTTGAAATATTTATAATAGTAAATCGGTAAGTAAGTTGTATTATATAAATTGCATAATGTTTACACAGTACTTTCATCTAAACTTTCCATATCTTCATCTATTTACCTCAAGTTTCATGAATGTTTCGTTGCTCTGCTTTTTCATGTATCATTTCAGTTATCACACTTACTCGAGAGTTTCATTCTCTTAAATCTTCTGATATGATATATATTATCTTTATCTAGACGTTTGATAGTCTCGAGCATCACATAGTTGAAGAGCTGTTTTTAATGGCTCTTAAAAACCTTACTTATTGTCTGGCAAACCTATCTGTAGCTCTCAATAAAAATCAGTTTCTAAATTTCCAAGAAGATTAGACGATACTACTTTACACTGATAAAGTTATATAATTTAAATTTTCTAAGTAGGCAGCGTGGAATTTTTTTTCCATAACCTAGTACATTTTTCTAAATTTAATTCCTATTTTTTCCTGTTTTTCCTTGTATGTGCTTTCCAGCGTAGCTTTGAATCTAATGGCATATCTAAGGTTGCTGATTTTTCTGCCCTCTATAGTGATTTCTCCATCCCATTCGTCTAGTACGTTTCTCATTATATATTCAGAATATATGTTGTTTAATAATGGTGATAGTATGGAACCCTGTCTAGTTCCTTTCTTTGTTTTGAACACATCTGAAAATATTCCTTACTTTGGCTGAGTTTTTATCATACGGATTTCTTAGTAAACCGGATATATATATTTCTTATTAGGTTAACTAGGTGGTTAGATACTCCAATATTTTCCATAAAACTTTAGAAAGGATCCCATTTTACTAAATCAGAAGACTTTTTGTAATCGACAACACAAAGCAGCATTGGTATTATAATGTTTTTATTAGTCCTAATTTATTGTCTTTATTCTAATTTATTGTCTTTAATCTAATTTATTAAAACTCACGATAATTTATCAAAAGTCTTTATTTTATACTAATTTATTTTACACTTAATAATTACAAATAATTTATTTGCGTTCGAACAATTTAACGCGAGATCGCGATCTTCTTGTTGACTAACTGCTCAATGAAAATCTTCCGTTATTTATATGAAATCAGGTGTTAAAATGGAACATCGCCGAAGGTTCAATGGCATTCTCGACTAGACAGAGCAGTGACTGGTCTAAAAACTGGTATGTTTTTCATCGGCTCGTTCCCAGAAAGTTCGATTGTTGTTCATTTTTAGCGAAGGGACCCAAAGGGTGTCAGGTAGATTTTGACCTAGAAATTACGAGAATCAATAAAAAAGAATTAGTCATAAAATATTTACAGTTCTATATGCCATAACATTTAAAATCGTAACAGTATGTTGTGTTATCTCACTTTTTTATTATCTGTCTGGTATTCAGTATCTGATCATGGCCCTCGAAAGCCAAGATCCGACAGGGGAAAAGAATACAAGGACTCTCAGGTCGTTAATCAGCGAATTCCTTGTCAAAAGAACGTAGATGAGAAAATAATACTGTCCAACACTAGAATAGTACTGTATATACAGTGCGTTAAGTTTTTGATTAGGTATTGCACACTATACGGAGCGCTAAAATCGTAACATCGTAATTGTAACAGTGCTTTTTCCATACTTTCGTTACAGTAACATTGCTAACATCTAACTCCCTAGCAACGCTTCTACTTAAACGTGTTGAATCTACCTCGATTGTTGCACAAATTTGTGTATCCCAGTATTCTCTTTCCTCAACTTTTTCTGGTAACACTTCTTGAGCGTGACATTTTTTGCATTTTTTTAAGCAATAACAACTCTCAAAATTTTTAACAATATTATAAATTGACTGTACACAAGGAATTGGTCTTCCCTCAAAAACACAGAAAATAAATCTACACACTGTTGCGCAGAATTGTCACTATAAAACCATTTTATTATTTGAGCTTTTTCTGCGGCCATATAAACAGACATGTTTACAAAAATAAATTAAAACTCTACGCTGTTATACCTTTAAACAACCACGGTGTAATGACAATATGACAAATTTGCCGACGGGCGACGAGCAACGACGAGTCAACGAAGCAGATATGTAGTGGCAAGTCGACGACGCGCAGTGTTGCCATTTATAGAGTGTATACCTAATCCAAAACTTAACGCACTGTATGAGTGAAGCATGGTGGTCCAATTCAGGTTGTTTTTCAACAGACGAAGCAACAAGACTTGGCGTGGCAGTAACATCGATTTTTATTTGTCTTTTTTCTCTTTTTATTTGTGCCCCAAAAAGAAAAACGGAAGAGAATGCAACGATTACCGCACCATTAGCTTGATGTCTTATGTGCTCAAGTTACAACTAAAAGTCATCCATAATTGAATATATCACAAACTAGACATGAAACGCGTGAAGCTCTTTTTCACTTAATATACTAAAACAAAGATGCCTGTACATCAATCAGCAAAGCCCCAGGAACGCGTGAAGCTCTTTTTTCACTTAATATACTAAAACAAAGATGCCTGTACATCAATCAACATACATACGCATGTTTTATTGAGTATATTAAAGCATTCGATAAAGCATAACATGAACAATTAATGATTGTCCTGAAATCAAAGGAAAATTGACTACAACGACCTCAGGATCATATCAAATTTATACTATAAACAGTGAGCAAAACTACGCGTTAACGAATAGCTGTCAGAAGAAATTGAACTTCGATGTGGAGTGAGATCCGGATGCGTATTGTCTTCTTTTTCTTCTTCTTCTTCCTCCTTTGCCATATCCGTTTCGGACGTTGGCTATTAACAAGGCTATTTTGACTTTGTTTACGGCAGCTCTGAATAGTTTGGTCGATGTAAGTCCGAACCATTGTCGCAGGTTATGCAATATGCATCCATGGGTGTCGTCTTTTTCCCGGTCCCCTCCTACTGTCGATTCTTCCTTGGACTATTAACTGTAGCAGCCGGTACTTAGTATGCCTCATGACATGTCCGAAGTACTTAAGCTTCCGTTTCTTTACGGTGAAGATTATTTCTTTGCTTTTGCCTATCCTCTGCATTTCTTCCACGTTAGTGATGTGGTCTGTCCAGGATATTCGAAGAATACGGTGATATATCCACAGCTCAAAGGATTCTAGTTTCTTCAGGGTCTCTTCCGTTGTGGTCTATGCCTCTGCTCCATAGAACAAGACCGGGAAGACATAACACTTTACCAGTCTTAATTTTAGTTCCATTGAGATTTTGCTTGTGAACCACTTTTTCATATTGTTGAACGCGTTTCGCGCTTTTTCAATTCGTGATCTTATTTCTGTTGACTGGTCCCATTTTGTGTTGACTGTGGTTCCAAGGTATGTGTATGTCTCCACTTGTTCTATTTTTCGGTTGTTTAATGTCAATTGCATCGGAGGTTGTTGTGTTCTGCTGATGAGCATGCATGATGCGTATTGTCGCGAATTATTTCTTGAAAGCGAAAGTCTTGAAGATCTTCAAAGACTTATGACCAGAATAGCGGAGTATAGAGAAGAGTACGGTCTAACAATGAACGTCTAGAAGACGAAATTTATGAGAATATCGAAAACTCAAAGAAATCACGAGAATTGTCCAATAAATGAAACTAACCTCGAAAAAGGGACAATTATGCATATCTGAGAACAATGATTTACTCCACAAATGATTAAATTTGTAACGACATTATTTTGCCTACCACAGGGGCATTAATATAAGGGCAGAAAATTGGGGGAGAAACTATTGGGGGTGAAGATAGGGCAAGCAAAATATACGTTACTTGTGCGAACGGACACTCAGGGTTTCGTAGGAGAGCTGGGGTCGTGGATAAGTAAAATGGGGTTAAAATGGGGCAACTACAACAAAAAGAAATAAAGGGCTTTTGGGATAAACAAAATAAAATTAAAACAGAAAACACCTCAAGAAATTTGATTATAGGGCGCCACTTGAGGTGCCTAATTATGCCTATTACAACCCACTCTTTGTAACTAGGGAAATAATTAGAAAAAAAATCAACATAAAAAACATATCTTTTTCAAATAAAAATCAGTAAAGGTTTAGCTCAAAAAAATAAATAAAAAGTTAAAACAACAAAATTTAACCTTTATTTATGTCACCACAAACAGTTATAAGGAGAAATACAAAAATATTACAACAGTCACAAAATACACAAATATCAAAACTTACATGTGTCATCCATTAATAAACTCCATTAACTTAAAAAATTGCATGGAGGTTAACCTTTAAAAAAAAAACAAAACACAAATCAAAAAAATAATAAAACGAGCTGTCATAAATTAACATTAAATTTCAAAAAAAACTAAACACAAATTGACAGCTCAACTCAAAATCAAAAATTTACTATTAAAAAAAAACGAAAGCAATTATTATTTTAAAAAAATGTTTGTCTTCACTTTAAAATTAAACAAACACCTAAAAAGTTACCTGGATTTCACTTGATCACACATTAAGTTTCTGAAACCATAACTGGGGTTCTCTGGACACGAACACACGAACAAAATCATCTCCACTGTGAATTGGATCGACCATTTGAGGCCAAAGCCGGCACTGAACAAAACTTATGGCTCTGCCTCTTAAAAAAACAAGGACAGGTAGAATTGGACTATAATTATACCTTAAATTGCCACATTTAACTGCTACTTAAATTATTTTCCATAACGAAGAACAAAAGGACATTACAAATTCTTCATGAAAAGAAAAGAAAACAGAACACTTTTAAAAATTCGACGAAAAATTTGGACATAACGCTGAACCGCCTTGGAACGCGGTCCAAACGAGAGTATTGTAAAGCAGAGATTTTCTCCGCAAAAATTGGACGCAAATCTTAACAAAGACTTATAAGAATGCGACGTAGTTTCCTTTGCGACGCATTTACATGAAAAGAAATCGCCGCAGTAAAATAAACAACAATTAAATGGATTTATTACTCTACGACGTTAGAATGATTGAAAACACTTTTCGAAAGATACGAACTAAAAAACAGAAAACATTCTTCGTTTTATTAAGACGATTTCATATACGAGGCGACTTTAAATATACTTCAAAGAATCAATCAAATTTAAAATGCTACAAATTTAGGAGATCAAAATCAGAATAGAAAAGGCTAGAGCAAATTTTAATAAAATCATAAGAGTGATATGTACAAGGGATTTAAAATTGGAAGTAAGGGTTAGCAAGGTTCTATGTTTTTTTGATTTTGTTTTATGGAATGGAATATGGAATGTGACATCAATGAAAAAACAGGAACAATCGAGCTGTGGATGTATAGAAGAATTCTGAAAATATCGTGGACAGAACACGTCACAAACAAAAAGGTTATGAGAAGAATGAATAAAAAAATAAAATTTTTAAATACAATTTAAACAAGAAAATTCGAATATATAGGACATGTTACATGTGGAGAAAAATACACCTTGCTCCAACTGATTATGAAGGGAAAGATCCAAGGAAAGAGAAGCATAGGGAGCCTAGGACCTCCGCTGCGGAGATGGCACTTGAAGAAGAAGATTGAGTATCTGCACAGCGTTTCTTTTCCTGATACGAATCCGCATTGTTCTTCTGCTCTCTGAATAATATGTAGCAGGATTTGCTGCATAGGGTTAGTGATGCTTTTTTATGAATATGGATAAAGGTTTTACCCCTTATAGAGTTTTTCCTGCTATATTTGTTAATTTATTTACTTGATCTATCGTTGAGTGGCATTCTCTAATCCCAAACTTATGAGTTTTACGATTTTTGAAGCTTAACAGTTTTATCTAGATCATTTGTTTGTTTAATTTACCAAAAGAAATATATAACTACTTTTTATTTTTTAGCCCTACTGAAGGCGATTTTTTGACAAGATTGATGTATTTAGTGGAAGATACATATGAATTTGTTTTATTTTATATTATACCGGGTCAATTATTGACAAACGAGGTGAGTATATAAAAAAATACCAGTATCGAAGGCAAGGAAGACAAGAATTCGGTAGCAAAAATAAATTATTAATGGATTTACGTGATTATTAAACTGCTGTATCTGTAGCTAGTGCGAACAAAACTAGAATAAAAATATAAATTGTAGCTTAATTTGGTATCCCATTGATGATTTTTTTTATGAGAACGACTCGGTAGCCTGTTACTCAACCTTTCTTCTTCATCCAAGCCTAGGATAGGCTGTGGTAGTTCATAACTACTCAATTCATCCCCAAACCAGCCCCATAGTCTAGTCATCCTAGAAGAAAATGTCACTAAACTTCTAAAAATCATACTAAGAAGCCGAATTTTGCCGAGAATATCAATTTAGGGACCCCAAAAATATAATCACATTAGAGGTAAATTTTTGACGTGGCAACGCCGCACTCGGAACAAATATGGCTTCATACAAGCATCTTAAATCTCTCTCATGAAACTTTTTTTATCTACACACAGTTGACCTGCCACTTCTCGCTTTATCGTACTGTATTTTCCTTTTAACCAACCAGTAACATTTCTTTTGTTAGCAATTTTGTCTCTTTTATAGTAGTAATACTTTAAATTTTAGGCAGAGAATATGAAAGATTTTGCATATATGAGTAACTGGTATGAACATTCCGTTGAAATCAAAAAACCATTCATAAATATGGTCACCTGTATTAGTAACAGACCAGTAACTTTAAACGCTGGTAATTTTCTTGATTTCAATTTTAGAACTGCTCATGAGGTAAGTATTACACATATTTTTTTACGTCATTTCTGCTATTTATAGTAAAATAAATGTTTCTACATGCAATTTGACATGCACAACGTTATGAATCCCATGGACTATATAACAAAGTGCGATATCTATCCAGGGAATTTAAACCATCACACAAACAATAATGGATCAAAACCAACATATTATAAATGAATTGAAATGAGAAAGAAATTGCAGAGGTATGGAGAAAAAATTGTAGTCTATATGTAGATGTTCCCCAGAATGCAAATCACAACGAGTTCACTGCAGAGAGAGAACCAAACAGTATAAAGTCAGAGGTAGAAAAAGCAGTCAAAAAGTTAAAAAATAGAAAATCTCCTGGCGCAGACCAGATCACCGCAGAAGTTTTAAAAGATACTGGAGATGTTGGAGTAAATGTTATGCATATGATCTGCAAAAAGATTTGGGAAACCGGAGATTAACCCAACGACTGGACAACATCCACTTTCATCCTATATTCAAAAAAGGAACTGCGCTAAATTGCAGAAACTACAGAACGGCAACCCTAACATCCCATGCAGGCAAGGTTCTCCTTCATATAATACATAAAAGACTAAAAGCGTTCCTATTGCCTCAGATATCAAAAGAATAAGCGGGATTTGTCCCAGGAAAAGGCCTTCCTTGTCAAACAGCTAATCGAAAAACTCGTGAATTCAATACTCCTATGCTTATGTGCTTTGTGCATTACACAAAGGCCTTCAATAAACTCAAATCGCAGCAGCTATGGTCCATACTAGAGAAAATGGGAACACCCCACCACTTAATTTATCTAATTAGAAGTCTATATGAAAAAAATAAGTGCACAGTAAAAATAAACAACACCAATTCCGATAATTTCAGAACATAGGTAAGTGTCAGGCAGGGATACATAATCTCGCCAACTCTGTTTAATATCTACAGCAAACACATTATGTGAAAGGTACTAGATGGATGGAAGGGAAGGGAATCGCGGCAAATCAAGAAGAAATGGAAGAAATAATGAGATGTCTGGAGGAGAAAAGCAAAGCATATGGACTAAAGCTAAACAGGAGTAAGACAAAGATTATATCATCATATAAAAATAAAAATAAAAATAGCCATTATGATTGCCAACCTCCGTAGGGAAACGGCACTCTAATAAGAAGAAAGATCATGATAGTAGACAGAGCTCGGAATAATCTTCAACACATTTAAGAAATTGGAGGCTCTGAAGTAGTAAACAGTTTTATATACCTACTACTGCTACTACTCCGTGGCGTTACAACCCTTCGTGGGTTCTAGCCGACTCGACAAAATGCCTCCACTGTTTTCTGTCTTCAGCAACCTCTATCCAATTTTTCACGCCCATAATACTTAGGTCTCCTACTATATTGTAACCTCGGAAATCTTTTTTGGATGGTGCTAGAAAGATAACCAATGGAGACACTGCGGACGGCAGCCAGATGGTTGGTGGAGAGCGAGTCGTGGGTTCGAAACTAGCTTTTGGAACCGGGAATGGATCCAACGGAAGAAATAGGTAAAGATAGGATAAGAGATATTAGAAAAGATACAGAAATAAACAAAAAGATAGATGGGTAAAATTACCAAAGATAAGAGAAGATAGAAACAGGGCGCCACTCAATTTTTTGGGGTTAAGGAGAAAATTAAAAAACCTTAGAAAAGAAAAGAGATAAGGAAAGATATCCTTCAGAGATCAGAGATTAAACCCAATGAAATATACCAACAGTTAATTATCAAATAAATTTGGTCAACACAATATATAAACAAATAATAAATATATTAGGTATTACACTTACTTACCTACGAAACTTAATCAGCCTGATCTTTCTACTGGTCAAAGGTATAGTAATAAATTAATATACTAAGCAAATATTTAGAGCTACTATTTTATCAGGGAACTTGTTAGGAGCTGACAAATAAAATACATGCATAAAACATTAACAATATATTAAATACAAAATTATGATGCTGCTAAATGCAACACAAGTAATAAAAGTACACAACTATGAAATGGTGTTATGTATGTATAAAATTAAGCAATAATATAATAAAAAAACACCTTTACCAAGATATATAAGGTAATCATATACAAATATAGTTTGGCGTATCTCGAGATATTATAGGAAAGATAATGAGCACAAATTATAGCAAATACAAAAGATAGCAAAAATTTCTTAACTGTAAATTTACAAAAAAAAACAAACAGGTTACAGAGTTGAAAACATTAACTAGCCAAACCGCACTTGGCTAGCTGGGTTACTATCTCGCACTATTAATTAATGCTAAACTGAGATGTTCATAGTTATTACTTATGGAAAGTTCTTGAATTGTTCTTTAAATTAAATATAAAAATCGGCAATCTACAGATGAAGATATGGATGAATGATAGGTGATACGTCCAGATAATGGCAGGTGATATGATACCATACCACATTACTCGCCCAGATAATTTGCAAATAAAGATTATGGTAACTTACATAATTCCTGATGACGGCAGCTTAATTCACCGAATTTAATATACTGTACTGGTATTCAACACTGAATTTAATTAGGTACCAGAAAAGGTAGTGTAGAACTATATATAACTTGATATAGTCTAAGACAAGAACACTGAAATGTAGAGTTTATACACACTTAGAAAATAATTCACAGAGACGATAATTTCAGGCAAGCGACCACACTCAACGAGAGGCCACCGAGAAGTCTCACCAGATAATCGACCTGTGCTCAACGAGAGCCCACCGAGAAGTCTCACGAGATAATCGACCTGTGCTCAACGAGAGCTCACCGAGAAGTCTCATGAGATAATCGATCTGTGCTCAACGAGAGCCCACCAAGAAGTAAGTTGGTTCCACTAAAAATTTCACCAACTATCCAAGAAAAAAGAAGAAGAAGGTTTATCCCCCACTTAAAATCATCGGACAGTTGTAGGTAATTCTGAGGAAGTAAAAATTCCGAAAGTTTTGAGTTACCGGTACCAACAATTGGACATGAGAAGCAGACAATACTTGGGATTAAGTTATTGTCAAAAGATATGGGCCTTCGGCGAAAATTATCAATTTATGTAAAAGAACCTGCATACCCAAAAGCATTAGATCTTTTCATACTGAATATTAAGACGGAAAGGATTAACTACCTTTAGTAATTAGGGAAGTCCATTATAATTTAGTAGATCCAATATTATTTTCTTATCGTAAACACGGGAATTCCTAATCATCGGCGTATTGCACGGGGGTAAAAGAAATTAAAAATAATTAATATTTTAATAATAAAAAAAATGTTACAATATTATCTCGCCACCGGAGACGAGAGCGTCCGCGTGGTCTCCTTCCAGTTGGGACTTTCTCCCACACCAGTCTTACTGTTCGTTCGTCAGAATGTCTTTTAAGGTGTCCTGCCCATTGGAGTCTTCTGGACTTTATTTTGACAGATAAAATTACGACAGATATGTGGGTGCAGTAATAAGAGCTTCAAAGACCATCCCTAGTGGGCATTGTACAGAATATGTGCACAGATGGACTAAAACGTATGATGACTTGTACACGCAGTGTCTCGATAGTAGCAACCGATTTGTTGAACTCTTTTATTCATTCTCAGTTCACGAGGATTTAGAATTTCAGCTAGCACATTCCTCAAGGCTTGTTCAAAATAATTTATTTCCAGGATACTCCAGGAACACCGACAAAAAATATAAAACGCCTTGAACCACGACAGAGAACCGTGTTTAACTCAGGGTACTGATCTGGTGAGATTTTTTATTCTGAAGTACTGATCAAAACCCATTATCCTTTCCCATAGATCGCAATGGAGTATTGCTTAATCGTTTTCTTTCTTCGTCTGAGTTGAATATTAACCGACCGGCTCCGTTCCACTTTTAACGTAGGCTGAGTATTTATCAGCCGTGCACACAGTTTTTGGGTATTGACTAAAGATCGTCATTTGCCTTACCCATCCAAACACCGCCAATATTTATTTTTTATCGGCATCAACGTCAAAGCGCATCTTGTTGATTTTATTTACATAGATTAATCTTTTTAGTTTAATTGTACATATCTTTTATTCTAATTCATATTACTCAAAAGTTAAATTATTTATTTATTGAATTTAATTAATATATTCGTCTTATTTTTTAGATATTTAAAATGGTATTTTCCTACTACACGTTTTTGAATACAATGAATGTTGAAACATAAACTTTGTAATACGAAAATCGAGCACGTTTGAAAGTGTGGACACTAAACTCACGTTTTTAAACATTATCAGCACAAAGTGTACAAAAAGTAGAAAATAGTAGATCTAACAATAATTTTTGGACCTGGTCTGTAATGGGACGGAAATATACATCGTCATAGGAGCTTTCAAAGTGTGTGGAATACTGTCTAAAACATTGACTTTTTGTTTTAAGTGTAGTTTTAAAATGTAATGTTTGTAGAGAAAATTGTTATAAAATTATTGAAAATTAATATAAAAATTGCCTCAGTTTTTTGTTATTTACTAACCTTACTAAAATCAGATCAATTGATTTTTGTACTGTATTTTTGTTGAATATATCGTTGTTATCATTGTGTGGGTGTTAAGCATTACACCAGTCTATCTGTGAAAAAATCATTGGTTTCACGTAAAAATCTTATACAAATATTTGAAGGTCCTAAAAGATATATTAGAAGTAGCTGATGAAAAATCTGTGAAGACGTACATCTGATTTTGCTTTGGTTTTATTTTAATCAATCTTAAAAATTTAATTTTTTGCCTATTAAACGTTTCTTATGCAGTTGAGAAGGGTCTCTCCGGTCGTCAACATGCAAAATCCCTGTAAAAACATGAACAAGTCGAACAAAACTAGACTAGGTATTAGAGTTGGGACATGGAATGTTAGAAGTCTGTTTATGGCTGGAAAACTAGACAATGCCATCTTAGAAATGGAACGTTTGAATGTAAATGTATTAGGAATTAGCGATGTGAGATGGCAAGGAACAGGTAAATGTATA